AGTTCCAGTACGCTTCGGCGATGGCTTTTTCACCAGCCGGGATCTTGTCAAGCTGGTCTTGCGTGAAGCCGTACCCCATGCGCAACCAGGTTGATTTACAGTTCTGTGAACAGATGCCTTGGTACACATCGTTATCGCGTTCGCCCTTGCTTTTCCAGAGATCCATGTAACAGTAAAACACGTCGCTGTTGTCTATACTCAACACCTCGTTGCCGCTGATTTTGATGGTGGTTTTCTTGACGATGGCATGACCAATGTTACGCACGAGCTCGCGTTTGTCGTTGTCACAAGTCAACGCCTGTCGAACCGTGCCGGGAACGATAAGGTCATTCTCGCCCAGGTTGGGGAATCGAACCATCAGCTACTGGTTTAGAGCTACCTTGCTCGGATTATTGGTGATGGTCACCGACTGACGCACGGCTTTGATGCCAAGAGGCTCTCTTAATCTTCGGAAAAGATTTAACTTTCTCCTGTATGACATTGTTATATACATGAAATATATAAGTTTAATATAATTAATATAATGGACATTCCGATGGATGATTTGGGTGGTGTGCTCGATGATGGGGATAACGTTGAAAACACCTAATTCATGGGCGACACCTTTAGCAACGAACTTTTAAAGCAGACCGTAGACGAATATTACAACACATTGAGGCGAGATAAAAATTACGTCGAACCGTTGGGACGATACTATTTCAAGTTCAAGGCCTTGCTAACCGTTCGTGGAGAACTCGTGAACAATATGGGGAAACTGAACGGTGGTGGCGATGACTATTTCGTTGTTGTAACCCACCACTTTATGGACTCTCAGGTGCATGTCGCTCGGGGCCATGTACAGTCCCACTCCAAACACGTAGTCGACTTTCTACAGGGCATATTCCAACACGTTTTGGTAGCGTTGGATAGCACTCGGTAGATCAGCTGGAGCATTGATAGCATCCTCAATGTTTGACACCAACTGTTTCAGCGCGTCGTAAGCCGTCCCTTTACCCACGATGTAGGAACGCGTTTGCGTCTGCGCTCCCAACAGCGCCCACACATACGTTCGAATCGAGTCGTTCAAGCGTTCGGTGCCGGGCACGAGTGAACCCTCTTGACGTGTCCAGCATGAACATTTTCCAATCGTCCACGGAAGCTTTGGACTGCTCCACTTTCTGGACGGTGAAAGCAACACCACCTTTAAAGTTCATACGATCATCTCGCCATTCATTACTCGACAAAGCAAAGTCCTGACGTAGTAAATCTCGTTTCAGTAAATCATCACTTACTTCTTTCACGGATCGCATCCCATCATATGGATCACCGGTACCAACCCGTGGTTCGGAGCCGGCAAACGCCAATCCGTCTTCGGATCGATTTCGAATTCGTTGCAAGTTCTTTCGTACGCACGTTGATCGTACGGATTGTTTACCGCATCCCATGCTTTGTCCTGTGGAAGCGGAGCACTGATTTCTTTGAGGATACGTCTGATCTGATAGTACACGTGGAACATGAACACAGCTCAACGTCACACCGCACCCGTTGTAGTGTACCACACGGCAAAATTGAATTGATTCTGTCAGAACTGCATCGGGTTGTTAAACCAAGAGTGTACCGTCTTAACGTTCGTCACCGAAAATCTGTAATTTTTAAACACATTGATAAATGGTGCTTTGAAATGCAACCCATCTGCAACCACGATCTTCATGTGTGTGAAATTGGAAGTATCGCTTTTAGAATAAAACACTCCCGGTTTGTACATGTTGAATTGTTATATGATGTATAATATTTACTTCCATTATGTACGTGACGCTTCCGTCAAACAAAGACCACTTCCTAAACAAAGTCGTGAACAACGGAACCCTGCTCGTGCCTTACGTCCCGACGCATAGGTGCAGTGTAATCATCAGCGCAGTCTCAAGTATGGCAGCCCACATGCTATCGAGTAAACCCAGGGAGCAAAACGTGGGGTTGCAAATGGTGTCTGAATTCGACGGCGTTGTCAACATCCTGGAAAATCTACCGGATAATTCCACGCTGGTCATCCAAGTCTACCTCGGTGAACCATCATCACCAGTCGAAATCGTGAAAGGAAGCAAACTCCGGTGGACCAAACAACAATACCACGTTTGCTCTGTTTACGTGCGGGTGAACATCGATTCCCACACCAGTCTGCAGGGAGTCACCGTTACCGTGGAAGACACGATATCACTCACCAAAATTTTCCTACCAGACAACATACATCTCATGGGGTTGAGGTGAACACCTGAGAAATTATCAGAAAAACAATTGGAAACTATTTTATAACATTTTATATAGACGATGAATCATCATCCCAACATCACGCTTGGCGATCTAGGAGACACGGAGGAATTCGATCTGCCTGGTGAGGAAAACACATTGTACGTCCTACATTTGAAAGACAACGTGTACGAGCGGGTGTCGCTAGCAGACTTTAAATAGCCCGAATGGTTGATCAACATAACCCTCACCGCACCTCATTTCTCGGTTAAACAAAATGGTTACGTCTCAAAGATTAAGAGCAACGGTATCATTCTCGGGTCTTTCATTCCGGATAATAATATACAAGTTATACGAATACCAGGTCACTCAGGCAACATGTTAGCTCCGAGCGATGAGACTGTATATTTAAGCGCTGATTCACCCGATTACCAGCAGAAGTTTTTGACTACGGTGCCAGACACCACACTCATCATAGAAGTCTATCTCGGGAACACTAATAACAATGCAAGCCCTTTATACGGTTAGTTAATAATCTGGGAAGACAGGCACAATTACCAACGTTGTCGTATCATCGTACAACCAGGAACGGCACCCTTAGTAATCCTCGAGGGGGGTCCGTGTTTTGGTCCATGATATGCCTCTTCATGTCACAGGGATTTTCGTGAATAAAAATCTAAGCCTTATACTGACTGACTGAGTTTGGTTTTACGCCGCTTTTAGCAATATTCCAGCAACATCACGGCGGGGGACACCAGAAATGGGCTTCACACATTGTGCCCATGTGGGGATTCGAACCCAGGTCTTCGGCGTGACGAGCCAACGCTTTAACCATTAGGCTACCCCACCGCCCTCAAAGCCTTATAAGTCTCAAATACATTAATAAGAAATTAACGAAAAAACAATTAAATTTTATCTTATAATATATAATACACAAACACAGGATGGGGCTGTACCCAGTAGTAAGTGAAGTAGCAAAAAACAATGGAAACCGTAGAAGGATTTCGGTTGAAACAGTTATGTGACGTAAAACGCCAACTAGAACAAGATCGCGATATACGGGCGTCATTAAGTAAGAAATAACATAAAGCTTTCAATTTCGTGGATGGGGCTGATACCACCCTTATGGCAACCAGCATGGGATTAGGAGCAGTAGGTGTCGGGGTTTTTTTACCACCATCGTAGCCGCACCCATAGTGCTGGGCATTGAAATAACAGCCGGGGTGTCAGGGTTGGTGGGGTTGGTGTTTAAGTTAAAAGATTACATCGTAAAGCATTGAAACACGACGAAATCAGAATTCTGGCCGAAGCAAAGTTAAACACAATAGACGACCATATTTCCACCGCACTCACTGACAATAAAATCTCAGATGAAGAGTTTCGTTTGGTCCTCTCTGAACTCGCAAAATATCACAGAATGAAACAAGAGATTCGTAAAAGTCTCGTAAAAACACTGCCATCAGTGAAGACGAGAAAAAATGTACATAGAACAAGGGATACAACAAGCCCAACAAGCTTTCATTACGAAAACCAAAGAAACCATAGGTGATTCACATTAAATTGTTTTGCTGAGATCAACATTGCATAGTTTATTGATGTGAAAATTTATTGCTACATTTACCTCCCTGTCGAGTGATCACAATAGTGCATGTGACCAGGAAAGTGCCGATTTCGCGGTCCAATGCATAGTGACCAGGAAGTTGGCTGGGGATTCAAAAGTGGTATGCACACTAGCGGAGAGAGATCTCCGATTACTGTTTAGTTAGAGTCAGCACTCAGGCTTACGATCGAAGCTAGCTAAACTCCTTTATCTCAAGTTCAGAAAGAAATACTAAATATGTGTGAGTGAGAATGGTTTAACGCAGCTTTCAGCAATATTCCGGCAATATCACCGCGGGGGACACTAGTTAAGGGTTTTACACATTGTACCCATTTGGAGAATCGAACCCGGGTCTTCGGCATGACGAGCGAAAGCTTTAAACACCAGACTACAGCCCCAATATTGCACATGTAAGGCCATTTAAATTAGTACAGGGTATTTTGTAAGTCTAATTAGCTAATCATTGGAATGAGAATTACAGACGAACCTGCACAAGACTACGCCACAGAACACGTCATGTTATGAGCTTTCATGTTAATTTCGTACTTTAATTCTTCACGTTTTGTTTAGTTGTAACCACCGCTAACTATCTGCCACAGTAAAACACCAAGGGATCGCCAATGTGACATCCTTGGTATGTAGGGGATGATCCCACCCACCGTCAATAATGCATCAATACTGCATGATTTTAGATTGTCACATTGCATTGATCCGTAATTGTATACTCCTACAGTCTAAATGATGTAGCCTTTAGCGGCCGCCATACAGCTGGAATATTGCTGAATGCGGCGTTAAACTCACCTCACTCACTTTAGCGGACATGACGCCAGTGTTATTCCAGCATCAAGACAAAACAACAAAGCACGACGTCGTCGACGTACCGTTCCGCACTAACTCTACGTGACTACACGATCTGTTGGTCGCTCTTACGACCAGCCCTGGTTGCGAGGGATCAGTTCTAACCCTAAATCCCCACGAGGAAAGCAATGTGTAATTTCGATTAAAAGGAAACAGAAAGGTAAATGACAAACAATATTTGATTTATTTTATCGTGGCCATATTGCGACAATCGACCGCAATGGTCCCAGGTGACTGTTGATAGCTTCACATGACCCATATTACTTTGTGTTTACTAGGTTCTTGATATCAAGCCATTCTCAAATAATTATATACTCACATGACTGTCCCATTCCAAAACTTGTGGTTAAAACTGAATGTTGTGAAAACTGTATATTGCCTATGAGTTGTCAGTCAAATTATTCCTTTGTGATATTGCGTGACACGTACAATTTGTATGGTGACTGAGCGGGGATATCGCTATGTCGACTTCAATGACGACTGCGAGAAAGCTCTAACACCAGTCGACGGGGCAAGCTAACTCGCGGTACAGAAACTTCCTCTTCTGGCCACAACGATAAAAACATAAAAACTGTTATACGTAAAACAAGTGGAATGAATCTTTAAATATGTTATCATCAAAGGGTGGACAAGTCAAGATAAGATACAAATACTGTATTATCCCGAAGGAAAGTTGCTGTACACGGTTGCATATTAACATTGAGCAACACATACAATACAACAAAAGATACACATACATAGGACCACAAAAACACCCATACATATGCTCACTAAGACTAGAATAGCTGGCAACAACGCCCAACATATGAGGTAAAGATAAATGATGAATAAATAAATGAAATTAAGATTTAAAGCTATAGGGACGACATTAAAATTATGCTGAGGAACATTAGCACTAAAAGTATATGAAGATAACAGTTTGAAACAGTTGATAAAGTATTTCAAAATGCTTAACAAACATTGAAATAATTCATTTAAAGGATGAAAGAACTTCGAGAAAGGTATTTGCGTGTTGTCTGTTTGTGTGTGTTATGTATGTGCGATGAGTGTGTGTTAAACGCTGGGGTGTGTAGGGGGAAGGGGGGCCTTGGGTGGAGTCAGGTTGCTGGCAGTGTGCGACATAGCCACTGGCCCGCTAGCCCGTGGATAGTAAATGTCCAGTCGGGCCAGTAAATCTCAACAGTCACTGGCCCGACTTGAAATTGAACCTTCATGGAGTCATATTGCAAATATATCAATCTCACCGACTTGCTAAGTTATAATACACTTTTAAATCATTCAAGATTATGGACTGATAAATTGTTCAACATATTAGCAGCTTAATGATGAAACCCGTGTCTACATCCAATTTTTGGGCTAGTGAATTATTTTGTGGGCTTGTAACTTAGGCTTAGCTAGCCCGACTGACCAGCAAAATTTGGAAACTATTTCGCACACTGGTTGTTGGTTGTTTTACCGTCTTGGGTTTTAGGGATTTTTGTCTGAATGAAGAGCTACTTCAATTTCTATTTCTACCCATGGAACATGAATAAATACCCTTTCCATTTCCACAAGGAACCTCGATCCGACGATACCATACAAGTTGACTGTATCCTGCTTCACCGGTTGCACCAGTCAGCACATGCAAAGGCTACTCAACTGTTCACATGTGGTACAAGTGAAATAGGGAATTATTACACTGGACACCAGCTTAGCCACAAACACATCACATTTGGAAATGTCCTCCACATGTCTACTATAAAACTTTCTGGAAGTTTTACTGAGGCCTTAAATGTTGTAACCTTCACTGAACAACTTCTGAGAAAGAATCGTGAGACTCTTTAAAATCTTGGTGACAAGGGCATGCTGATGTGTACGTCAATAATTGAGAAACGTAAACACAAAAAGCTGGGGATGCAGGATAAGTGTTCAAAATGAAGGGGAATTTGGCTATTGGTCAACGCTCTTATCACACACTCGTGTGGATAGTTTGTTGTCACTCTGAATCTTTAGATCTAAATATGAAACAGGTGAGGCTGTCGCAGTGGTCTCCATTATTTCCAGTTCAGGTTAGTAAAGTCAGTGGTAGCGAATTGACTAGTTGATCCCACCCCACACACACCCTTTTGAAAGCCTATCATATGTACATTCAAATTCCAGGTGTTTGCAGGCTGAGTGCGGGGGATTTTTCCTGCAGTGACCCCCCAAAGGGGGTCAGGGTGGGGAAAATTGGGGGAAATTAGTTTTTGCTGTTTTTCACAAAATACATTCTAATAACTGCTTTCTATCAGGAACTATAAAGATATTTGGGTTTATTGATTAGTTACAGGTACAGGAAGACATTTACTTTGAAAAATGCATTGAGTCTAAGGGGAAAATTAAACTTTATAGCTGTTTTTCCACACTTTCTAGTGGGCAATTGTTTTAAGAAGGTATTCTTGTTTCAATAGCTCTAAAATGATCAAAATTCATGTTACAGCTACACTTAAAGCATGAAAAGACTTTGAGATGGTTTATTGTAGTCTGGGTGCTGGGGATTGTTCATGCCCTGACCCCCCCAAGAGAGGGGCCAGGGGGTAAAAATTTGGAAAAATGAGTTTTTTTCTCTTTTGCATAAAATACATTCTAATAACTGCCCTTTATCAGGAACAATGAAAATATCTAACATTTATTATTTAGTTAGAGGCACAGGAAGACTTTAAATTTGAAAAATGCATTGTGTCTAAGGGGGAAAGCAGACTTGAATGCTGTTTTTTTCTACACTGTCTGGTTGGCAGTTGGTTAAAGAACGTATTATTTCTTCAATTGCTCTAAAATGATCAAAATTAATGTTACAGCTATACTTAAAGCATGGTGGTTTATTCTCACTTTGGGTTTTTATAACATTGAGTTACCATTACTTATATTTATGTACCTTTATGCCGAATCATCATAGATTGTGTCCAGAAGACTCTCAATCTCAACTTCGTCTGAATCCTCCATTCTACTCAAATCTAAGATCTTGCTGGATATTATGTCAGTCAACTCTTGTGGAAGGAAGTTGCCTATGGTCCATTGACATTTCAGAGCATGTGATTCTTGTCAGCATTGACCAAGATCAAGACCTGGTGATCGCACGCTGCATGAGCATGTATAGGAAGTCTCTGCAAGGTGGAAAGAGTCTTATGTCTACATCATCATAGCTTGTCATAGTCTGTCTCCCCTTGGGGTTTAGACCGCCTCCTTGGTGTTGTGGTTAGAGCGTCCGCCCGGAGTGTGGAAGGTCGCGGGTTCGATCCCCGACCGCGTCATACCAAAAGACACTAAAATATGGTATTTGTTGGTTCTTGTCTGGCGCAAAATGGGTACAACAAGGACTGGTCGGCTCGGAGTCAGTATAATGTGTCTGAGTGGGGTATTCATCCTTCACTGCGGCATGGTATCTCAGTGGGCTAGCACTATAAAACCAGCTTAAGTGTGGGCTAGTACAAGCAGTCGCACATTGCACGTCGTCATATGAGCGAAATATTCTCAAGCACGACGTTAAACCCAATTTCACCTCACCTCACCTCACCTCACCCTTGGGTTTTAACTTCTTCATGAAGATTTGGCAGTGAGCCTCATTTACATTGTGTGTGACTTGACCATACATATGACAGACAAAGGATTCCAAAGACCACAACAAGTCAGTAGCTACTTATCAGAAAGTCCATTTTGGAAAAAGCATTCACAAATTCAGGGTGAGATTCGAGAAGCTCAAAAGGGAGAACTTTGCCAAAAGGTAAAAAACTAATTTCCCCCAATTTTTCCCACCCTGACCCCCTTTGGGGGGTCACTGCAGGAAAAATTCCCGCACCCAGCCTGCAAACACCTGGAATTTGAATGTACATATGATAAGCTTTCAAAAAAATATAGTCTTCAAAATTCCCCCAGAGGGGGGGAGGGGCACCTATATCAGCCCATGGACTATAAGGTTTAAGGCTACGAATAGCCCGACATGACTGTTCGGAATAGAACAAGGCTGTTCGGAAGAATCGGCAAGAGTAAAAAATTAAATTTTGACGATGTGGAATATCTATTAGCAAAATAATTGGTAGACAGGATTTACTTGCCTTTGTGCGTGAATATGATTCCCACTGAACAGTTCTTTGTGAATATTACTTATTGCTTCATATAATAAAACACAACAGGAATTAGATGTGTCATGGTCACGTTAGTTATTCGGTAATATACCCGACACCGTTCTACCCAAAATTACGCTTCTATACCAGTTTCCTCACACGTCAACAAGAATGTAGCCATTTTGAAACTACTTGAAAGAACACTAAGGTCGGTTCGGAATAACGTTAAATTTTCACCTGAATTAAGGCTACCTTAGCATAAGGTAGATTTGTGCAACGGGGTGTCAACCTTCGCAAAAGCCTAAGGTTAAAACTTAAGGAGTTAAGGGAATCTTTAAACAAATAGCGCTACGGTTGTTTTGTACAATGCCCCCCAGGTCAGTAATAATACAATTTATTCAATTTTATATTTAATAAATTCATTTAAGTGAATTAATAGGCGGTCAGGCTACTTGGCAAGAGTTGCCTCCCTTTGGCAAGTTACTCGTCAGTTAGCACGTGCATGATAGCTTTAAACGGGCTGTGGCCTTTTCAAAGCTGGCAAGCAGACCGAACAGACGCCTACAGTTCAATGTAGAAGTTTAAAGTCCTATTTTGATGAACCATGTCCGGACGAGGCAAACCTCAACGAAAACGAAAGCAGTCGCAACCTCCGGCCAAGCAGCCGAAACGAACCAGAGGAAAGTCGAGGCGAGAGACGACAGTACATGACAGTGTAGCTGGCGAGCCGAGCGGGGCGAGCGAGGCGTCAGTCACGTGCGACGCAGGAAACCAAACAGGTGAGTTTTCTCTTGAGCAGTCGGGGATATGTATTGACATTGATACAAGTAATGATAACTGCCCTCCCACTACTACAGGTAACAATAATTTCAATACGAGTTTTGAAGCTGGTGATAATCTGTCGGTAGAGTCAGTATTTGACAGCGTTGGTGCGCTTGTCCCTCAGACCATCAAAGAAAAGATCAGAAATGGCGAATATATTGACATCAGCTTATTGGTCAGAAATTCGAACATGGATTAATCACATGGGTCTTTGAAGCTAAATAGCATGGGTCAGATCGAGGTTGTTCGGCAAACAAAGGAAATTGGAAATATCTTTGAGTGGACCTCAGCTTTCTTGATTTTCTCAAGTATTGTATGACCAGAAATTATTGGGAATTTTAGGAATATGTTTAATTGGATTTCTAGTATAAACAACCTTGACCAGCTATCAAGAAGTGCTTGGTTTCTATCAAGAGAGACAATTCCGTTAATCCTTTTTCATTAGTTTGTGAAGAGTTATCCCCCTTTGTTTACTTGCTAGCAGACGACATTTTCAGTGATCCTCAGTATGGATGATTTAGAGAAGAGGAAGTTGATTTTAGAGTATTAAAACAAGGACATCAGATCAGCTAAAGTGATTTCAAGTAGAACAAGCATCCCTTTGTCCACTGTTTATCGTGTTTTGAAAAAATTGCAAATGGATATGGCGATGAGCACTAGCGAGGCGCAGGTAGGCCCAGAAAATTGACTGTCGGTGACAGGAGGCAGCTTGGTATTTTTGTTTCTAAAAACAAACGAAGGAATTTAGAAAACGTAAGGCTGGATATGATTGATAGAGGAACTGTGGCTGTCTGTAAGGAGACAATTAGAACTGAGCTGCATGCAATGCAGGGCTCGATTTAGTGCTTTGTTACTTGCACTGGTGCAACCCAATATTACAAAGTACAACCTAGTTATTTGTCTAACTTGCACCAGGTACAAGTCAATTTTTGAGTGGGTAAACTTCTGAATAAAACATCTACATAATTCAATAGCATATTTCTGATAATACACATTGCATTAAAAACAGTGCACCTGGAATTTGACTGGTGCAACTAGGTTTTTATCTTAGGTTGCACATGGTGCAAGTAGGTTAACATCTAAGTCGAGCCCTGCAATGGGTTGGCAGAAAAGTCGAGGGATTCCATCACAGATCATGAAGCCTGAACAAAAGGAGCGAAGGTTGAACTGGTGCTTACAGCATAGAAATTTTAACTTGGACAATGCTATTTTCTCAGATGAAAGTTCTATGTGGCTGTTTCCTAATACACTGAAATTCTGGACCAAACAAACTGGAAAACCTTTGTATCAGCGCCCAAAGTACAGTCCGAAATTTAACGTGTGGGGTGGCATATCTGTGTTAGGTGCAACGCCCCTCTGTGTATTTGAAGGGAATATGAACAGTGAGCGGAACACAGATATTGTCGAGAGACATTTACTTCCATCTGCTCACGTGATCTAAATCCAGTAGAAAATGTGTGGGACTTATGAAGGAAAGTGTCAATAAGAAAAATCTGACAAATATTGCTGAAATGAAGAAGAGGTGGTCCGATATTAGGACAGCATGGACCACAACTTTCTAACTTCTTTGATCAGTAGTATGCCCCGCCGCATTGAAGCCTGCATTGCTGCCCATGGCTATTTGACAAAATACTAACTGTTCACCTGTCTTTGAATCTGGAGTTATGTTCTGCTAATATTCACATTTAATACGTGAGTAATGAGTGAAAAAATACAATCTTTAAATATTTTTCCTTATCCTGACTCATGCTCTTTTGCTTGTCTTCTTCTTCTTGCGAACATAGTGGAACACTTGTATCTCCTTATTTGAAGCTCCCTTCAAAATAAAATCACTAATTGGTACTCACCACGAGTTGCTCCCCTTTGCTTCCCCTGGCGGGAAAGGTGTCGCCACCCTCTGGCCATGTGCTCCACTCTCTCCTTCTTCGCCCAGTGAGCAGGATGTGAGAGCGCCTTGTGTCTCCTTACACACCATATCCTTTGATAATCTCTTAGTTTTTACCTCTCATAGGTTACTATAGAGGTATAGCTAGTATCCTTTACTATTTGTATTGATTAATTATCGTATTTCTACTGTTTATTCACGTGTATTCGTGATTGTTCAGCTAGCTTTACGTTGATGAAAATCTGTACGATTTGTAGATTACGTTTTTCTGCCTCCGATCCACATGTAATATGCCCTAGTTGTTCTACGCCGTGTGCGTTTAATTCACGTTGCAGTTACTGCATTAATTTATCTCATTCTGCATTTAATAAATATCATCTTTGCGTCTTAAGACGTGCTGCAGATAGATCACGCAAACAAGGGCAAAACATGGCAGAGAGTCCAGATATTCCATCCAGTCAGCTGCTAGCGATCGACCCTCTCCCGTCTGGTGTTCTGCTAGAGACCCCTGCGGCAGAGGAACGTGGGACGCAGTCCGTTACCTCGAAGAAACGACCGGCCTCCCCAGACATCCCGTCATTGCAGACCAAGTCTAAGAGGGCCTCATCGTCGTCTCAACGCAGATTGAGGACACCCAGGGCAGCGCAGACTTCCAAAGGGAAATCTACGAAGACAGCAAGAACTTTCTCAGCCGAGATCGTTCCAGCAGCAGAATTGGGCCTCTACGATGATCAGCCGATAATCATCCCCGACTTACGGCAGAAGAAGCGACCGGTGTCAGCGACTGTGACTTCTGCAGAGATCACCATGCAGCCTGATGCCTCTACACCGACGTCAGACGTCATTGATGTGAACCCCATCGCAGAAAAGACGCCGACGACTTCGTCACAGATCATCCCAGAAGACATGATGCGGCAGATTATGAACATCATGGAGGACCACTACAAACTGCGCAAGCAGGGTCCGAGCCTTCGCGAAGGCTCCAACGTAGACAGCACCCCAGAGGCACCCCCCGTCAACGTAGCAGCCAAGACGATGTCACCTTCGCGAAGGAAGTCCCGCACCACCTTGACGAAGGACCTAGATGTACAGCCTTCGCGAAGGCCTTCGCGAAGGCGGGAGAGATCATCACCATCTTCGATTTCATCTCTAGATATGGACTCAGACCATCAGACATCACGGAAGCCTTCGCGAAGGTCATATCATCGATCCCCCGGACCGGACGCAAATGAAGCTTCGCGAAGGCATTCGCGAAGGACATATGATTCCAGATCTTCATCATCTAGAAGAACATCGAGGGACTGCCGAAGAGCTTCGCGAAGCTATCAACATTCACCTCACAAGTCTCCGAGAAGATCATCCCATAGACGATCTCCACTTCGTTCATCACCAGGTCGATCACCCGTCAGATCTCCACATAGAGCGGCGCACAAGTCAACTAGATCGCCACAAACCTCATCAGATATACAGACAGCTACACGCAGTCCCGAAGAGCATCTACAATTTGTTAATGATGATGGTTTTGAGGATGATGGAGGAATCATATTTTCTGATGCAGAGATACGGTATTGGATGGTCAATAACCTAGATCTCACATCACCATCTAAAAGTGGCAATACAGCGCAGACGTATTTGATGAAGGAAGATGATCCAGATGCAATCACTCTACCCCCGATCGACCCGATTGCGGCAGTGCCACAGAATCTAGATGCAGCTTTCCAGAAAGCTACGAAAGTTCAGATACCACATCTGCCCAACTTTCAAGCCAAGAAGTTCTCCACGCATAACATGGACTCCTTCTACAAGGCCCAGGACATCGATGAGAACTATAAGATCATCAGCGATGTAAAGAACAAGATTTACAAGATGGATGATCGCAAGTTGGCTCATATAGAAACCATGACGAGACGTATGTTCTTTGGGTTAAATAGATCTAGGACGATCAATGAGACTCTTATTACTAGATTCCGGGATTCCACGACGGAAGATGATAGAATGATTTATTCTGCCTTACTTATGCAAAAGAAAGATCAGCAGTTTTTAACGGATCATCTTACATCTGTTTCAGCAGCACTGACCTTAGCTCGTCGTCAAGGCCTCCTCGCCTCCTGTAATTGGGGGGAGAACTTTACAGCCCCACTTTATACAGCCCCGTGGTCGACAACATCCATCTTTGACGGAGAAATCGACAAAGTCGCCAAGGAAGTCTCTAAGGATTCCAGGGAAGTCCTTATGATTAGATCGATGGACACACTAGCCAGCGTCATTCGTCAGACTTCACAAAGATACTCAGGCAGATCTAAGTTCACGGGCCTACAAAGAGCAAGAGACAGGAAGATAGCCAGCTCTAGAGGTAAAGATTCTTTTCGTCGCCCATATGGCAACTATAGAGGAGGATCAGGAAGAGGCAGGACACCCAGAGGTTCCCGCAATTATAGACGCTGAAACACAGGTTCGGAACGACTGGAGTCTTCCACCCCCAGCCGTTCCAGTACAGCCAGCTCAAGTGGGTGGACGCCTCCAACTACACTGGGAAAACTGGGGAATATTGCAAGACCCTTACGTCTCCAACATTCTTCAACACGGATTTCGTATCCCTCTACAGGCCAAGCCTCCGCTGACAATCAAACCCCCCAAGTTCGATTTACAAGCGCAACAACTACCAAAGATAAGAGAGGCTGTTTCATCACTCCTATCCAAACAGGCCATAGAAGTAATAGATCAAGCAAACGTCGAACCAGGTTTCTACTCCCCAGTTTTCCTAGTTCCCAAGAAAAACTCCACGGAGAAATACAGACTCATCTACAACATGAGCTTTTTCAACAAGAACTATCTACGCAAACCACCGAAGTTTCGCATGATACATTTACCTCAGTTACGCCAGATGATTCGTCCTATGGACTACATGGGCAGCATAGATCTACAGGATGCCTACCTGCACATCCCCATTCATCCCGATTCCAGGAAATACCTACGATTTACTCTAGAAGGGCTACATTACCAGTGGAAAGTACTCCCATTCGGAATATCATCAGCCCCCTGGCTATTCACGAGGATAACGAAACCGATTATCAAATTTCTACATCGTCAAGGGCTACGCAGTGCGTTTTACCTCGACGACGGGATACAAGTAGATCAAGATCCACTGCGTCTCAAACTACAGTTAAATTACATCATAAAGCTACTAACACAACTAGGTTGGTTAGTAAACTTACGCAAGTCGGACCTAGTACCATCGCAAGACCTGCAGTTCCTAGGTATTCGATTCATCACAAATCGCAACCGTATTTTGGTACCAGAAGACCGTTGGCTCAAGATACAGCAGACCATTCCACCAGCTCTACTCTCTCCGTTACCACTGCGACAATGGCAGAGCCTACTAGGTCTTCTCACATCAGCCCAAGACATGACTGTCACAGGCAGATTACAGTTACGTCCCCTACAGGTCCTCATCAACGCACATCTCAACGATGTACAACCATTCAGTCTACCGAAACATCTCAGACCGCATCTACTATGGTGGACCAAGAAATCGAATGTCTGCGAAGGGATTTGTTTAGCAGAGCAGGAATACAAAACCCATCTGTATGTAGACGCGTCACTCCAAGGTTGGGGAGCTCATCTCACCAACCACACGATATCAGGGTTATGGAATCAGCAAGAATGCAAACTCCATATAAACAGTCTAGAAATGAAAGCTGTAATCAACGCCATTCTACATTGGAGCACATTTCTACAAAATGCGCGCCTAATGATCCATACAGACAATTCGACAGTGGCGTTCTACATAAACAAGCAAGGCTCAACGAGATCGATGAACCTTTTGAACCTAAGCTTTCAACTGTTCGATTTAATACAAGATCTAAATCTACATGTCAGAGCAGTGCACATTCCCGGAGCCAGAAATATACTAGCAGACGCTCTCTCTCGGCCTCATCTACCATCACCGACAGAGTGGATGATCAACAGGGAAATTTTTGCACAGATAATCAAGCAATTAGGAGCGCCGCTAATAGACCTATTCGCCACGCGATTCAACAATCAGCTACCGACATTCGTGTCACCAGTCCCAGACCCCCAAGCTTGGGCAACGGACGCTCTAAGTCTATCATGGGAAGGCCTCAATGCGTACGCGTTTCCGCCGCCAGCAATAATACCTCAAGTATTACAGAAAATCAGACAAACACAGAGCCTACAACTCACTTTGGTCGCGCCCTACTGGCCGGCCAGAACGTGGTTTCCCATACTAATTCAAGAAATCGGTCAACCAACACTGGAGCTACCCAAGCGCGCAAACCTGTTAATTCATCCTCACACCAAACAAGTGCACGGAAACCCAGCAATGTTCCAACTACACGTATGGACTGTATACAAATGTGTTTAAACAAGAGAGGATATTCTGCCAGGGCGGCAAAAGCAGTCACGCTTGCCTTACGTTACTCAACTCGTAACTTGTACGACGACAAGTGGCACAGTTTCGAAAATTATGCAACAAAGAAAGGGTTTACAGCAAGAGAGGCTTCACAACCTCAAGTGGCAGACTATTTGTGTTACCTACGCCAAAACAAACATTTAAAAGGTTCAACGATATCAACATATCTTGCCGCGCTTAGTTCTGTAATCACCATGAGAACGGGTGTCAAATTGACAAGATCTCCAGAGTTACTGGCCTTACTACGAGCTTTCCGATTGGAGGACCAAAAGCGGAAGTTCCACGCCCCAGCTTGGGATCTGAATGTAGTGTTACAACACCTCACGAGTGAGGTCTATGAACCTTTGGAATCGACAAACTTTGAATTTCTCTCACAGAAAACACTGTTTCTGCTATCGCTAGCCACAGCAGCAAGAATGTCTGAAATTCACGCTCTGGATTACGAGAGGATACAGTTTGATGACAATCATAACACAGCGCACCTCGGATTAAGATGGGATTTCATCGCAAAAAATCAACTGCCAGGTCAACCAGACAGATTATTCCACATCCCGGCGCTATCCTCTATTCTCGGATCACAAGATACACAAGACCTATCACTGTGTCCGGTAAGAGCGCTCAAAGTTTATTTACGACGATCCAAAACAAGGAGAAGATTTCTCAAACGTTTATTCATCCCCTTATCGCCTACGAATCAAACAGAAGTGTCACGGACCACAATATCTATTTGGATAAGGACTGTCATTCTCCGTGCCTACAAGGCAGCAGGCTTGGACCCACCAACAGCATCAAATCCACATGAGATCAGGGCACTGGCCTCTACCCTCGCCCTACACGGTAACTGTTCCTTGAACACGATTATGGAAGGATGCTATTGGAAATCTAACATGGTATTTGCTAATCACTACCTGAGAGACATCACTACAGAAGATGTCTCTGGCATTCACCATTTCGGACCACTGGTCCTCGCTCAGCAACTGACAGTCCCTCGTAGGCGTTAAAATATTATCCTCACAAGATTAATATGTATTTTATACATACTCATCTAGCTTATAACTCTACGGAGTTTTAGGGCTATGTATATATGTTCAGCTTAAGTATTCAACCTTAAGCATATACTTTGGTATAGTCAATTTCAGTGCCTCTATCAGAGTCACCTATATATATATATATAATTTATATGTATTGTTCAATATATTCATAATGTAATTCCCCTTTAATGGCTTTATATAACCTATGGTTTTCTTTATACAGGAAACATCCTAAATCTAAGCCTTCATGAAAGTTCCCGTAGGGATATTACAGATATTACAGTATATCTATACAAAATCACTAATTATAAATCCAAAGTATTCTGTTACCCACCTCCGTTCCGTAGGATGCTACAAGCAAAAGAGCATGAGTCAGGATAAGGAAAAATATGTAATTTTTAGAGTAAAATTGATATTTTATACTTATCCTGACTCATGAGGTTAGCCCTCCCATCCTCCCCACATAACACTTTGGATTTCCCTGTAAATTCAAGTGTTGGGCTCGCTAAATCAGGAGAGAGTGGAGCACATGGCCAGAGGGTGGCGACACCTTTCCCGCCAGGGGAAGCAAAGGGGAGCAACTCGTGGTGAGTACCAATTAGTGATTTTATTTTGAAGGGAGCTTCAAATAAGGAGATACAAGTGTTCCACTATGTTCGCAAGAAGAAGAAGACAAGCAAAAGAGCATGAGTCAGGATAAGTATAAAATATCAATTTTACTCTAAAAATTACATATTTTTGGGGAAATATCAACAATGAACTTTGGTTATTATAATATGTAAGCTGCAATTCCCGGAAAGGAAATTTCAACAAGGGAAGCATGTTTTCCAGGGGTCTTAAAAATCAACTGGCATGAAAATGTCCGGCTATTGTTGGGATTACAATGAGCCAGGAAAGGTTTGTACAAAGAGGGATTGTAAATATCCTCATGTGTGTTATTCCTGTGGGGGAAATCATCCAATAACCCGTTGCTCATCTGCTGACATGCTACAAAACAAAGTCATTTCAGAGACCTCCAGTTAACGGCACCCTCCCCAATCAACGTAACTAGATTATTTAGTGAACTGGCAAACTACCCTGAACGTGTGGACGCTCATCTCTCAGTTCTGGCAGAGGGTTTCACGAAGGGTTTCAGTCTACAATATCAAAGGTATACTGTAAAAAAGATTTGGTTCCCCCATAGTAAAAGTTCCATTGGAACTTTTCATTCCAACATTTGTTCCTGTAATAGTGCATGGGGAACAATTATTTCGTTCCGCACACACAGAATTTATTCCGGGTAAAGAGGAACTTCCACACACATCATAAAGTGTCTAAAAGAGGGTTTTGTTTGTCGGGGTGGTCTTAAAATTGGGTCGTTGGGGGAACGGAAAGGAAAAAAAGATTTTCCTACGGTATTTGTTCCATATGGAACAAATCATGTGGCTATCAAGAAGCAATTATCATGTGTGAAAGTTCCTTAATTTTTTTTAGGAAAATACATTGTAGATTCCCCAGAATCCGAACTGATGATTCTAAATGAATCTTGTGTTAAAAAGAGTTCAGTTATTATGTAACCAAGTTACCTTCATTAATCAGGTTACAGTCAGTAGCCAGGTTAAAGTCGAAATGTAACCAAGTTACAGTCAGTAGCCAGGTTACAGTCAATATGTAACTAAGTTACAGTCAGTCAGTCGCCAGGTTAGTGAACATGTTACCAAGTTGAAGTTAGTAGACATCCTGGATGTTGACAAGTTGGATGAGTCCATTTTGCATTCAATACTGACTGGAATAGGTTAGGCCTACGGTATTTGTTCCTGTTCGATGGAATATTTGCCGTATGTGCGGAATTTTTATTCGTGTTATCCATTCTCAATTTCACGGCATTTATTCCGAACCGGAACATTTACTACTCGGAACTAAATCATGTTTACAATACTGTGTGCCAGGGAGTCTGTAAATTTGTTGTCAGCTAGAGATCCCAAATTTGAAAATATTATTCAACAGAAATTGGATAAAGAGATACGTTTAAAAAGATGACAGGATGTCAGGGCCATTTGACTACCACCTTTTAAAGATTTGATTGTTTCGCCCATTGGCATAATCCCTAAGAAAGCTGTTGGGGAGTTCAGACTAATTCATCATTTATCTCATCCTGAGGGTGAATCAGTAAATGACTATATTGACCCACTCATCTGTTCAGTGCAGTATTCATCAATAGATGTTGCAATCTCTATGATTCAAGGACTAGGGCCTGGGTGCTACATGGCAAAATCAGAATATGGATTCTCCTTCAGTACCAGGTCACATGAGAGACCACATGAGATTGCGCATGCTCAATCGGGTTTCAGTGCAAATGTGAACTCGGGTAGAAGTCGAAGCCTTTGTTGATCAGCTCTTCAATTCTTGGAATTTGTGTGCTCTTGTGTTTTGTGACTTTCTTGGACATTTGGATTTGTTTACTTGGAACTTTGGGCACGGTTTCCATTCACACTCGGCGTATGTAAGTCCCATTTTGTCAAGTTTTTCTGTCCTCTTACCTTTTCCCCCATGGCTTCACCAACTCGGGGTACGCCATCTTGGCAAAATTACAAGATGAATTGTTGGGTCAGTCTTCGTCTGCCCGAAAGCGGGAGTCGAGACAAGAACTGTTATCATCAGACCCAAAAGTGAACAATGGGGAAGAAATTGTTTCAGAGGAAACAACCCCGAGTGTTGAATGTAATAACATTGATGAAGAGAAATCTGGTGACAGTATCTCTATTGGCTGTCCAAAAGGGACCAGTGGTCATTTTGACAAACTTTCAACAAGTGTAAGTGCGGACAAAGGTGCCGAGTTTTTCACACAGGCACTTCATATAATGGAGAAAAATCAAATGGCAGTTATAAAGAAAGTTCTTGACAAAGTCACAGAACTGGAAAATCATATCCTTTACGAGCCAGAGGGCTCGCAGTGCGACGGGTCTATTTATAGAGCTGACGACAGCGTTTCACAGCAATGCCTCTCAGAGGCAAGCGAGCCAATAGCTGGACCTGGCCTCAGACCACAGTTACCCCCCTTAACTTTTACCATGACCCGGAAGTAAACTATGAGAATATAGTGCCTTGTTTAAATGGGCTGTTCTGCTTGTGCTAATTTTTTCAGGGTGACTTGTGATAGCTTAAATGAAAGGTAAGACATTGCACTTTATTGCAAATTTTTTTGGGTCCACAATCTACTCATGGTATTGACACCAGCCTTCCTTGATTTGACCCCAAGTTCAAGGCTGTCTAGTGTGTTTCGGCTCGTAACTTCCGGTGACCATTGTTTACAGTGGATACAGCAAAATTGACATGGTCGACCCAGGCTCATATTTTGCCGATTAAGTGACAAGTGGCAGGTTGGTCAGCATGCAACAGGAGAACAGCCTACGACCGATATTAATTATGGTACACTGGCATGTCACTGTAGATAGCAAAGAAGGAAAATAATTGTGGTCTGAGGCCTGATATGGTGAAGGTAGTGCAAGTGTTTAATTTGCTATATGTCTGTTATTTTTCAAAATATTCACTTGAAACTTTGCATATTTACTGACAGGAACATTTCAAATATGTATACATGTGTTTTCAACTGAAAATATATTTTTTTACATTTTTTATGAATTTATTTCAATTTTCTGATTGCATATTGTTTTAGTGAGTGAGCGGACGCATCATATTTAGTCATATTGGTTCCATTATGGTGAATGTATGTATCACTACGCCGCACGTGCCTTTTAGATGCATGTGATACCTAAAATGGCTAATATTCAAGCCTTTTTCAAAAGATATAGAGCCAAGTTTGTGAAGAATTCAGTCCTCAGTGAAGAAAATGGCGTATGTCATATGTGGACTGGAGCATGCAAGCACAGTGGGTATGGGGTATTGAGGTATTTTTGCCCCATAGCCTACCAGTGGCGTACTACTCATGCTCACAGGCTGAGTTTCATAGTACTCAGGGAAAGCTTTGACATAGGTGATTACGACATCAGCCATTTGTGCCACAACAGTAAATGCACCTATGTCGAACACCTGTCTGCTGAGCCACACAGCATAAATGCAGACAGAGTGGCCTGTGTAAACAGGGGTGTGTGTAAAGGCCATGCACCTTTCCCAGATTTCCTTTTGGCATTGAAGTTATAGGAGAACAGAAAAACAAAGGCAAAGTATATGAAAAATACTATATCATATAATATAGTAAAATTTTATTCAAATTTCCTGATTTTCACCACAGTCACAGTTGGTTGTGACATAGCATTTATTCACAACACATAGCTTTAGAGACATTATGATGTATTTAAACTTATAGTTACACAGTATCTGTCTTTAGCAAGTAATTAGCACATACAGTTCTGCAGCATCACTGCACAGTTTCAATATTTTGAATAAGAATGTTCATGGTTTTTGCTGAAACACGGTACAGGGTCTAACTGACCCTTTCTGTAGTCCCCACTCTGCTTGTCAGTCTGTTTAGACTTCAAATGTTCACAGATCTTGCTTCCATGCTGTGTAAGTTTCCTTTTCACAACACTGAGGCTTTTCTGATAGTCTTTGTGATAGGTAGCCTCCTTGTCCATTTGTTCAAGTGACCGCACAGCTCGGCTTGAAAGTTTCACCCCAGAATGGTCGCACTTGTCGATTGCTGATGTCCCAGGGCCATTGTTGAGCCTGTCGGACATTGTCGGAACTGTCCTTGAGCCAAGTGGGTGGGGTCAGCTAGCCTTTGCACCTTCCACATTGGGTCCAACACTTTGAGAGCTTTGTCTACTCCATCTGCAGACTTCGAATCCCCATCGGTTGTGGCATACTTTATGAGTACACCCTGTAGTGCGAGCTGATTACCAATGTCCTCTCCCATTTTGAACTCAGAGAATGGAGTGAAGGCCGACATGTTCGCAGTACAGTCTGGGTGCCCCCCTGGACATTTCACATCCATGCCTTTTCCTTTCAGCCAGGCACCAGTCCAGCAGAGCTTATTCTGGAATGACGCACCGGTGATGAACTTCTTGTCAGTAACAGTTTCGCAGGCGATGCCGATTGCTTGTGATGCATTCTGCCCTGGCTTCTTCCTGCTTGCTATTGTTGTCGAGTTGTATCGGCCATCCATAGCAATGTTCATCTCACATGGCTCAGTACCCCTCTTTCGATTAACTTCCTTCACTAACTCCACCTTTTCTGCCACATCCTTAGTGTTAAGTTCAGTTACAGCCTTAGCCACCTTGTTGGAGGTCCTCTGCATACTGCTCCTGCATGGGGGTGGAATGTCCATGTTGGCCATCAGTAACCTTGCTCTCGTATTTCCTATAGGTGTGTCCTGTAGACCCAAGGCAAGTCCCACGTTGGGTGCTGCTGGGTTTGGCCCAGGTTTACCCGTCTCGATTTCTTTGTATAACTTCATTTCAGTTGCTACAAAGTCACATGTGACACATTTCAGTGTTATTTTCCAGCATGCTCCCATTTTCTCTCCTTGGCTATCTGCAGCTGAGGGTCGTCACAGTCACTGGATGTTGACCGATGCAGTCATGAGAGCTGTGTTCCATGCTTCAGCCACCTTTTCATTGTCGACTAGTCGCATACCCTCCAAGTCATCTTTGCTTGACTCTTGTTTCAGGTCATGCTTGCTGGTTGAAGTGGGACGCAGCAGCCTCACTGAAGTAGAGATGCCATCGCAGTCAGGTGTTGACAGCCCAGTGCCATCCAGCCTTGACTTGGTGACCAGGGAGAAGTCTTCTGCACTCAACCTAGTGACTGTCCTGGGTATCTGGGGTGGAGAGGCACTTTCCGACTCTTCCGATTCAAGGGTGAGACCTTTGTTCCAGGGAGTATGGCCTTTGCTGAACTGTGACTTGATTCTCTTGCGGTCGCCTTTCATCGTGATTGTGTCGAATAGAACTAATGAGCTCTGAGCACAGCATCTACCTATATATCCCATCTCTGTGTGTTGTCACTGGCACTGACAAGCAGGTATATGTATTAGAAAATGTATTGGAAACTCAAGACATACACATGTCTTGTGCCACTGGTGTAACTCGCAGTTGAGCCATACACACCTACTGACACTTTGTCGCGTATTGGTCAGGTGTCAGGTGAGAGTGGTTACGCTTGGTGACTCGCTGCACTTGATTGGCTGTACACAGCTACTTGAGCAGCCAATCAATTTAACGAGGGAAGATAGGGCTTTCTAATGAATAAAAATTTAACAGTTTCAATTTTCATTTTTGTTGAAAAATATGAACTTTAATGGAAGTATTTTAGTATAAAATGCATGTATGTATATAAAAATATAATTTTTTTGGAAAAAAATGCTTTAATGGACTGAAACCAGTGTCCTTTGATAGCACATGCAATAACAAAAGAGGAACACTTGATGTTTTTGTCAATTTCCACCTGGTTATGGAGTTATAAACAAATTAGAATTGTGTTTGAAATTAATTCATGCCCAAAATTAACACTCAAATGCCAGATGAGGTGAGGTGAAATTGGGTTTTACGTCGTGCTTGAGTATATTTCGCTCATATGACGACGTGCATGCGTGTGTATGTGTATATGCGGCTGCTTGTACTAGTCCAGACTTAAGCTGGTTTTATAGTGCTAGCCCACTGAGATACCATGCTGCAGTGAAGCATGAATACCCCACTCAGACACATTATACTGACTCCGAGCCGACCAGTCCTTGTCGTACCCATGAATGCCGAGCGCCAGGCAGGGACCAACAAGTACCATATTTTAACGTCTTTTGGTATGACGTGGTCGGGGAACTCAAATGCCAGAGATACAGCATGGAGGAAAAGGAGTATAAGTCAAGTTGGGGCTTTCAAATTTTCTGTGAGCCTTACATAGTGTCTGGGCTTAGTATTGATGAAGTTTTATTTAATTTGCAGACTTTTTGGTGTCCTGATAGGCCTCAGACCACAGTTACCCCCCCTTAACTTTTACCATGACCCGGAAGTAAAATATGAGAATATAGTGCCTTGTTTAAATGGGCTGTTCTGCTTGTGCTAATTTTTTCAGGGTGACTTGTGATAGCTTAAATGAAAGGTAAGACATTGTACTTTATTGCAAAATTTTTTGGGTCCACAATCTACTCATGGTATTGACACCAGCCTTCCTTGATTTGACCCCAAGTTCAAAGCTGTCTAGTGTGTTTCGGCTCGTAACTTCCGGTGACCATTGTTTACAGTGGATACAGCAAAATTCGAACTAACCTGTAGAGGTTTCAGATTCTTTGAATATATTCCTCCTTGGGGTACTTATAAGCATTTAAATGTCCATTTAAATTGCCTACGACAGTTGTAACAATATTTGAATAAAAATATTTACAAAACAAAAACTATGTTTTGTCTTGTGAGACCACCCTTACAGGGCCCTCCGGCCCCCTACAGCCAAGAGCAGGTAACTCTAGACCGTAACCTCGCACCTCACTTTCCATGCTGAACGACGTCAGACAGAATGTGGGAGGTGGGCGGCGGCGTACTACTAAGGAGGAATATATTCAAAGAATCTGAAACCTCTACAGGTTAGTTCGATTCTTTTATATATTCCTCCTTGGGGTACTTATAAGCATAAGACAGACTCCTAAAGACGGAGCTAAGGAGCGGCATTCTGTCTGCAGAAAACACCCCCGACAAGAAGTGGAATTTCCCAAGCTAAATATAGCAGAAAAAGCACACTGACCCGGTCACGTGTCCACCATAGCCAATCAGGCGGGGGCATGAGCCAGGGTCAGGGTCGAACATATGTAAATTGCCCAGCGAAACCTCGCTAATGCAAACTAACGAGACACACCCTCCCTCCCTCCCGTAATCTACTCGGAAGCGAAGATAAGGGTCCCGCAATAAGCCACCAGAAACGAAATGCCTTAATATATACATATATTTAGCCAAGTTTCCAAGGCCAGTTAAGTCTAGAGCAGAATGCAAAAGACATGGGAATAAAAACCATCACCACATAAATCCCGTCACCAAGGGAATATGTAAACAAGATTTTTAAAACCCAACACCAGTGTTAAAAAATTTGGCATAGAATGGTTCACATAATAAAATCCTCGAAAGCTCAATCGGCTAGAGAGGTGGAACCATGCCCACTGGAGAGAACTGACTGACCCAACCGAGCACGCTCACTGGAGAGTCTGTCAAGTTGGTAATGACGGATGAACGTACTCGGACGGCTCCAAATAGCCGCGGAGCAGATCTCCTCAATGGGCAGGGCTGCAGCGTAAGCTTTCGATGTAGCAACTGCCCTAACCGAATGAGCTTTCAACCATACAGGCGGGATACGCCCTGTTTGAGTATAGCTCATATGTATGGCAGAGACAAGCCACCGAGAAATGGTTGGCTTGGTCGCCGGAAGACCAGCCTGAACCCCGCCGTAACAACAAAACAATTGGTTACCCTTACGGGTACCCCTTGTTCGTTTGATATAAGCCTTAAGTGTCTTACGGACATCTAAAGGCGTGAGCACGTCGTAGAGAGGTACCGGACAGGGAAGGCTGAGTGAAAGCTGGGAGCTCAATAGGCGCCGTCACATGGAAGGGACTATCCTTAGGACGGTAAGTATCAGGCAGCCGTATGCAAACTCTGTCTTTGTGAAAAACAGTAAGCGCGCGGGATCGGCCGACATTGCGTGAATATCGCCAACCCGCCTGCCTGAAGTCACCGCCACAAGAAACGCCGTCTTCCACGTCAACAGCTGGAGTGAAAGAGCCGACAGATTGTGAAACAGTGGACCGGACAGCCAATCAAGAACGATTGACATGTCCCACGGGGGACTAATCCGCCGGACAACCGGACGGATTCTGTCCACGCCTGCTAAAAAGCGCTGCACAAGAGGGTGCTGCCCCAAGAGAGCACCGTCAACAGGAATATGGAACGCAGAAATAGCCATAGAATATCCTCGAACAGTTGAAGCCGCTAGACCGGCGTCCAACCGAGACTGGAGGAATTCTAAAACAGAGACTAAATCTGTAGAAAAGGGATCAAGAATCCCCCTGTTGACACACCAGAGCGAATAACAGGCCCATCTATCCTCATATTGAACTTTTGTCGAATCCCTCCGCGAAGCCAGAATTGTGTCTGCAACTGGTGCAGGAATTCCGCTCGCACGGAGGCGATCCCTGACAGCGGCCAAGCCACCAACTGGCCAACCGACGCATTGGGCGACTGGAGAAACTGTAACACAGTCCTCTGGACTTTGACGATGAGAAGCTAATCGTCAAGGTACGGGTGACAACACCTGCCCTGAGACCTAGCTAACTGAGCTGGGATTAGCATAAGTTTGGTGAACACCCTTGGCGCCGTGGAGATGCCGAAGGGGAGCACATGAAACTGGTAGCACGTCCCGTCGAAGGAGAACCGGAGGTACTTCTTGAACTCGGGGTGCATTGGAACATGGAGGTATGCATCTTTGAGATCGATTGACGTAAGCCAATCCCCTGTCTCGACGGAGGAGATCACTGACCTGAGTGTCTCCATCCTGAAAGACGGCATCTCCAGTAACTGGTTCAACCCTCTGAGATTCAGAATGGGTCTGAACCCTCCGTCCTTTTTGGTCACTAGGACGTAGGTGGAATAAAACCCCTCTCCTTGCTGACCCAAAGGAACCACCTCGATGGCTGCCTTGTTCAGTAAGGACTGAACTTCGGCACGGAGCGCGGTCCGCCTTGTCGCGGGAGGTCGGCACAGGCGTGTGCCGAACCCCGGAGAAGGAGGGAGGATCTCGCCTCCACTGTGGCAAGTGGCCATCCCTGAGCGTGGACAGGACCCAGGGATTTGAGTTGGCTGCTTCCCACTCCCGGAGGAATAGGGACAACTTGCCGTCGACAGGGACGTGTGGCATGAGGCAGTGCACCCCCCACAGTCGGCAAGTCTCCGCAAGTATTAGTTTTCTCCAACGAAGCCTCCTTGGAACCCTTAGCTCTTTTGGGAGCCGGCTCCGTATGGGAAGCGGCTCCCGTAGACCCCTTTTTTTGTGTGAACGCTTGGACGGGGTATCCTGAGCCCAGATATCACCCCCTGCCCGAAGCAGGTTGCTGTAAAACAGCCGGTCCACCCGTCATGCCTTAATAGTTTGAGGCGTGAAAATGGCACACGCCGGACACCCCTCTTCCTCATGATCAGTTTGGATGAGGCAACGTAAACACACCTCGTGCGTGTCCCTGACGGGAATGGCAGCGAGGCACGAAGTACAGGATTTAAACTGCAACAAGTAAAAAACCTGTGCAGCAATCAACCCCATACACACATACATATATGAAAAAACATGCATGGGCGACACAATTAATGCGACAACGTAGCATACAGTTGACAATAACCATAATACGCACTGCAACATATCTAACAATTACGACTTTTAGCGTAAGATAGAAAATGCTAGCAGCGGAAACGCCCTACATGTAACAACATATAAATAAAAAGTACTATAACCACCTGTAACATTGAAAAACCACACGGGAAACCAATGAACAGGGGGGCTAGCGAAGGGACCTGTCCGCCATCTTGACACGCACCGGGCGAGCCGACCGCGACAGGTACCAAGTTACAACTAGAAATTATGAATGAAAAAGTTCAGAACAAGCCTCCAAATCGCCCATGCAGGGAAAAAAGAGAACCATACATACAGTTGCTGTTTCTGACACACTCATAATTTTGCGCAGGGAAAAGAAACCTTCTCGAATGGACCCACATCTTGCCGGTAAACGACAGCATGGAAAGTGAGGTACGAGGTTACGGTCTAGAGTTACCTGCTCTTGGCTGTAGGGGCCGGAGGGCCCTGTAAGGGTGGTCTCACAAGACAAAACATAGTTTTGTTTTGTAAATATTTTATTCAAATATTGTTACAACTGTCGTAGGCAATTTAAATGGACATTTAAATGCTTATAGGAACCCCAAGGAGGAATATATAAAAAAGAATGACATGGTCGACCCAGGCTCATATTTTGCCGATTAAGTGACAAGTGGCAGGTTGGTCAGCATGCAACAGGAGAACAGCCTACGACCGATGTTAATTATGGTGCACTGGCATGTCACTGTAGATAGCAAAGAAGGAAAATAATTGTGGTCTGAGGCCACCTAGCACCGCTCAGCGGCCCTCCGAGCAGCAAGCAGCTGGAGTTAGCTCCCCTGCTCATCAAAACAATATGGCGGCCCCCAGTCAACCCTCTAAGCCGGTGTGTGATCTGGGAAAAATTGCCAGTGTATTCAAAGTTTCCGAACAAACAGGGCCACGGATCGAAACAGAATTGGCAGATTTAGTGGAGGGTCTGCTTAGCACAAAGCTTGATGAGAAGCAAAAGGCAGAAATCTTCGAAAAACACGCCCGCCCTGAAAACTGTCCCAAGTTACAACCACCCCGTGTACACAGCGAGATATGGCGTATCATGGAATCAGACAGTAAGTTACGAGATATCAGAGCGCAAAAAGTGCAGAACTCCATATGCAAGGGGTTAGTTCCAATTGTGAAGGTGGTGGACACTTTG